AAGCCAAAAATGTTCTACATGAGGAATTACATATAATAGTGATACTAACTCAAAATTGCTTTTTTCACAACATGGTCCGTTTCTATTGTCCACACCCCATATGTCCAGCCACTTTGTTGAAACAAAGGCAGACTGTAATAGGGGTTCTTCGTACAACACGCCATGCGCCTTAATATTAATAAAATGCTGGTTCATCAGAAACAATTTAACACTAGAAGCTCTCGTGGTTTTTAAAGGACAAAAGAAAAAAAATCCTTTGTATAACACACCTTGCGTCTTAATATTAATAAAATTCTGGTTCATCAGAAACAACTTAATACTAGAAGCTCTTGTAGTTGCTGAAGGACCTTGAAACAAATGAAAAAAAAAAAATTAATTCGCGTCCCAAATAAAATAATAGGAGAGTTCTTTGTACAACCCACAGTGCGCATTAATATTAACAAAATGCTGGTTCATCAGATGAAATTTAATACTAAAGCTCTTGTAATTGCTAAAGGAAGATAAAATCTTTGTACAACACCATGCATACATCTTAATTTGTGTCTCAAAAAATAAAATAAAATATAGTAATAGGAGATTCTTGGTACAACACCACGTGCCTTATTATTAACAAAATGCTAGTTCATCAAAAGCAATTGAATACTAGAAGCTTTTGTGGTTGCTAAAGAATTATGTGATAAATTAGATTAGAAGAAATGTTTCCTTGAAAAGAATGTCATGATATTGCAAGCTCTTAATCATCATTATTACAAAGTGAGGTAATGTTTTTTCGGCAAAGTTAGTTCTTCTATAATATTCTTCATAATCTAAAAAAAAACTGACACTGTCAAGACAAGAACGTTTCCCTCTATCTTCTTTTCAAAGGTCAAGCAAGCTCTCTAAATAAATTTATAAACAATGTACATACAGTAAAAAATGGCAAAAAAATTGAAGTTGTTCGAAAACGTATAACTTACCTAATTTGATTTAATTTTGTTTTGTGTTTTTTTTACGTTTTGATACAAACAATAACTTTTATTTTTTAACTTCTTTAAAAAAGTTTTTAGCCGTTTTCTAGTTCATTTTTAGCCTTTTTTTTGAATTTGATCACGAAATGACTAAATCAAGTTTGAATACGCAACGTGAGACCATTTTGCATTATTGGAACATCGGAATACGCTCAGTTAAGGAAATTCAAACGGCCACAAATATCCCCATGCGAACTATTTATAATAATCTCAAAAAATTAGAAAAAATAATGGAAAATTGGATCGGAAAAAAGGAAGTGGCGAAAAAACAAATAACGCCTATTATTGCAAAGACAATTGGCCAGTCTATACGTCGAGATTCTGCTATTTCACTGAGAACACTTGAAACCACATCAGGAAAATAAATCTCATGTAAACCTACGCAGGGTTTAAAACTGACCAGCATTATGCGGAAATGTTAACAGAATTACCAAAATATCGACATAATGCTGGCCAATTCTGAACCCTACGTAGGTTTATGTAAGATTTATTTTCCTGATGAAAGTTATCAAATAAAGGTTATCAAGTTTCGCGCATGACTATTTCGAGACATCTTTTGGGTCTTGATTACAAAAAGAAGCTACCAAAAGCCACCCGATGTTAACTAAAGACCACAAACGAAAACGAATAGAATGGGCACAGAATCATATGAATGACAACTGGAACAAACCCGTTTTTACTGATGAGACAGCTTTTCAGCTCTTTCGTAATACAGTAGAACGCTGGTACAAGAGAGGACGGCCCACTCGTCGAATTCCAAAAGATCGTCAAAAATTTTTGCTTGGGGTGGTTTTTCTATAAATGGTAAAACTAGCCTTTTTTGCTTCACGAGAATAATGAATGAAGAATTTTATGTCGAAATCCTGGAAAATCATGTTCCAGAGATTCGCGAAATGATGGGAAGAAGCTGGCGATTTCAGCAGGACAACGATCCTAAGCACACGAGTCGTCTTGCTCAGTCATTTCTTAGTAATAACGTTTCTCAACTAATGGACTGGCCCGCAAATAGTCCAGACTTAAATCCCGTTGAGAATTTATGGCATTTAGTTAAGACAAATGTATAAAAGAGAATGCCAAAAAATTGAGAGGATTTATGGTTCAGGAATGGAATTCCATTCCCAATAGCATATTAATCAATTTAGCAAGATCAATGAGGCGAAGATGCGAGCTAGTTATAGAAAGTAATGGTGAAAGAATACCATATTGAATTTTTGTCAATAAAACTACTATGCATTGATTGTTAAATAAAATATAAAGCACATTGATTACTATAGCCGTTGTTGTACGATGATCAATAATTCAATTGCCATTTTTTTCGTGACACACTGTATATTACTTGTAATCACGATCAGAAGTAATAATAGTGATGATGATATTAATAAATTATATATGTTAATAAAATTTTCACCTCCTCAACTAATTAATCAGATGCAAACTATTTTAATTTTAAGTTATAATTATAATTATGATTAGCAAAATACAAAATCAATTCAACCCTTTCTCCGTTTTAACGGCCAATGTTATTTTAAACATCTAAAAAAAAAAAATAGAATTCTTTTGTTGTGGCTTTTTTTTTTTTTGGTTAAAAAAGGGAGAACAAGTAATATTTATTTTTAAATGAATTAACACTAACGGAACGAATGTCCATTGTTTTTATTATTAGTATTGTTAGGGATTAGCCAAAATTAAATAAAAATTAAAAATTAATAAATAAATAAAAAATAAAAAAAAACAATTTGCAAATTTAATTGGTTTACTGATGAACAATGGGGCTTCTAAAATTATATTTTCAATTTTTCGGAAATTGTTAAAACGCTTCGCTGTTTGCTTACTCCATTACTCGAACGAATTTTCGCCACAATAATAATAAATAAAGGATGTTATTATCCCGAACTATGTATGCCAACAATATAACAATTGTTTTCATTGGTTTCCCAAAATTGGATGTAAAAGAAAAAGGATATGTGTAACAAACATTGGCTAATGAGTGTGGCTAATGTGGCTAGTATATTTGCTTCGAGTGGTACAAACCAAACTACATTCTTGCTATTGTTGCTGCTGCTGCTGCTGATGATGATGATAATGAGGAGGAGGATGCACGAGTTGTAGATGGTTATTCAAACACTCTTTACTACAACAAGCAACGGCTTGGCATTTTGAACAGACCAAAAGACCCCAAATATCCTTTAGTTCGGTTGCTTTAAAATTACACTGGACACAAATCGGTTGGATTTTGGAATTTGCAGATCGATCGATTGGATTTTTTCTTGCGATTTTTTAATTAATTTATCAGCTGTTGGAAAACCGCATTTTTGAATGTTTTTGCATATCTTAAAAAATTTTAATGCGTTCGTGTGATTTTTATCACATTCATACATTAATCCCAAACAATAATTTATATCTATGTGTATAGCCTTGATTTTATTCTCATAGTCGTCTTTAGTTGTTGACAAATAAGAATGCACATGTGATTGTTGTTGCTTCTGATACAGACAAAAAATTGGATCTTGTAATGTTTGATCAATGCGTCGCATTGCTTTTACTCCAGTTTGCCAAATGTCAAATTCCTTCGAACGATCCATTTGAAATCGATAGATTTCCGAAATGCCACCAATAACTTCAAGCAACAAATTCATATCCCATCTATTTGATGGTATCGTGTTGATAAGTTTCAATGCTAGAAAATAGTAGGCTGACGCGGTAATATGATCAGCACTAATTGTCCTGTTAAGTCCACCATGATATATTACACCCAATTTTCCTGCAGCATGTGCAGATCTATTTTGAAATGTTTTCTGATAAAATTCTACGGATCCGACATAATCATGTTCGATTAATTTCTCTTCAGCTTCTTCAATCAGGTTTTTAACTGCTTCCACCGTCTCTATAAATGAAGATGATGAATATGAAGAAGATGATGATTCTGACGATGAAGATGTCGACAATGAAAATTTTCTATTTATAAATGATCTCGCCAGGAAAATAAATCTCACGTAAACCTACGTAGGGTTTAAAACTGACCAGCATTATGCGGAAATGTTAACAGAATTACCAAAATATCGACATAATGCTGGTCAGTTTTAAACCCTACGTAGGTTTACGTGAGATTTATTTTCCTGATGGCCTAGCCGAATTTTTTATATTTGATCTTTCATTTTTATCATTTAAATAATTAGCATCAACATCAACATCAACATTAGCATCAACGTCAACATCAACGTCAACATCATTATCATCGTCAATATCGTTCGATTCAGGAAAAACTTCGATTTCTACAAAATCGGGCGGAATTAGTGAATTAACTTCATAATTTTGATTTTGAGAATTTTTATTATTATTAAAAGCTTTCGGAATGTAATATTTTGAAATACCATACAATAAGGCATCTTGAATAATAATAATATTTCGGAAATTAAATGTTTTTATTTGTATGGATGGTATTTATAAAATTATTTATGATGAATTAAAAATTCAATCCCGATAGTTCTAGATCCTTTTTTCTTATCTATAAATAAATAAAAATTTGATATTTTAATATGAAGAAAAAGTAGATTTTAATTTGTTAAAAAAATTAAAAATTTCCTTGCATTATTATTATTCGTTAATATTGGGGAGTCTTGTGATGTCTACTATCTTTGAACTTTAATTTTTTTTTTTTGGCTTAGTGCAGAAGATAGTTTGTAATTTTAAGGTTAATATTAATTAGTTAAAAATTAAAACGCGAAATTTAAGCATATGAGATGCGCAACCTGAGTTTTTTTTGTACCTATCGCACATTATTATATATACTGACACCGGCTGCTATAAAATGTTACTAAATCAGGAAATAAATAAATTGCTAGTTGGTAATGCAAGAAATACGAACGGATGGATTCGTCATCGAGACAAATGTGGCTAATAAATAAAAATTCCAAGCAAAAGATTCTGTCAGTGGCTGGAAATTTTACGTCATGAACTTTGATTATTTATTTTATTTATTATAATAAATTAAGAAAACGGACAATTATGGAAAATAATATAAAAATTTTACACAAAATATATATATATAAACAAAATATGCATGTATCATTTGTAGGTAGATGTTACACAACGTTATATAATTCAAGTTTAAAAACTAGTTTTAATTTGAGATATAAACTAATTATAGTTTATTATGAAAAGAATTTCTATTTATTTTCTCCTCTTAAAATTAGTGTAACACATACGTTTCAACCCAACTGTAAAACCCTCCATATTATATTGTATATTGCATATTTATATTAATTAGTATTATAAATCTAAAATTTGTTTTTGTTATTGTTCTGGCTGAACAATAGAAATACAGACTAAAGATTGTAATAATCTTGTTAACCTAAATTTTTTGATTTTCTGAAAAATTTTAAATACATCGTGATACGCACAATGAATTTTGAAATTGCTTTATTTGGCAATGTGAAATTTCGAAAAACAATATCAGGAACAATTGCTACGAATATTTTTAATATAAAAAACCATTCTTTTCCACTTTTTTTTTTTTTTTGATAGTTCTAAATTTTTAACCACAATTATTTTTTCACAATCCAATTTTATTTATTTTTTTTACGATTCAAGACAATAAAAAATATTTTTATTTTGCAAATTTTTTATTTTTTATTTCTTTATTTTAAAATTGAAAACTATTTAAACTATCTCGTTTCTATTTTATAATAATATTTTACAACATTTACAAAAAACAAAAAATAATTTTTTTTTATTAACAACAACAACAATAATAACAAAATATGACATCAACAACACAAGTTCCAACAGTCAGAATATCTTTATCATCGCCATCATTAGCACAACAAAGATTAGATTTATTATTAGAACAAGAAGCAGAATTTAATAATAATTTATCGAATACATCCTTTTATAATAACTCTGCTATAAATACTATACCACCAGCATACTCAACAGAAGAAAACAATAACAATTCCTCAATACCCAAATATCCAACACAAGCACATATATCATCAGAACTGCCAACCTACGATCATGCTACTATTGATATGCCACCATCATATGGTTCACACAATAACAAAGATAATGAAGTAGCTTATGACACTTTTATTGTTACAAATGAACTTCCTTGGCCAATAACAAAGAAACTTTATATTATAGGCTTCGTGTTTTGGCCACTTTGGCTCGTTGGTATGGGATTCAGTATATTTGGCAAGAAGAATGAAACAAGAAAATGGGGAAGAAGATGTGCTTGGAATTCATTAATTATCATGCTAGTATTTGCTTATATGGTGGTAGCTTATATAAGAACAAACGGCAGAATAGTCATGTAAATTAACAGATGATGATGACGATGACATGAACAATCTCTCTCTTTTATTTTCTATTTATTTTTTTACAAAACAGACTTTATATTGTAATTTTATGTAATTATTTCTTTAGTTTTTTTCTCTCTAATATTTAATTCTTAATCTTTAATATTTAATATTTAATATTTAATTATAAGATAAACAACGAGATTTTTTTTATTGGTTTTTTTTTTTTAAAAAAAAAAAACAAAAAAACATCAAAATAATTTGCAAAAAAAAAATATTCTCAATTTTTGTACATAGCTTTCTTTATATTTTTTTATTTAATGATAATTTATAATTAATTAATTCTAATCTAATATTACTATTATATATTTATATATATTTCTACTTTCGTTCCTTTGATAGGAGAAAAAGAAGAAATAATAATAATAATAAATGATAATCAACAAATAATAGTAATGATAAATAATAATAATATTAATAGTAATAATATAGTGATAATAATTATCTTACTCCTTTTACTTTTCCAATCCTTGATCTTTTTTTTAGTATTTACTATTAGCACATATTTCTTATGTATGAAAAATGGGATTTCTGGAAAGTTCTTCTCTAGCTCTTTTAAAGGGACATTTAATAATTGTGGTTAAATTTAGAATTCAATCTATCAGAGATCTAAGAAATTTAGAAAAATCTTTTTGGCTAGTTATATTATTACGATTCTTTATTTCAAGCAACTTTCCTTCTCAAACAACACTGAAATATAATAATATAATAATAATAACAATAATAACAATGATATAATGACATATATATTCTAATGGCTGCTGAACTCCTTTTCGTTGGATCTTTCGAGGAAGGAATTAAAGAAAGAAAGAAAGAAAGAATTATGATTGATTCATAATTTCTTGATTTCTCTATCAATTAATACAAAAAAATAAAATAAAAACTAGCATTTTAGGATTTAGCATATATATAATTTATATTTATAATTATTTGGATCTTTATAAATTTCTTTGTCTTTCTCTTATCATTACTATATTATTATTACATGTAAAAATTTCATATACAGTATTAGTATATAAAATTGTAATTATTTTTCTTTTTTCTGATCAAAGGTTATATATACTAATATGATTTGGGGGTTCTTTCTTTAATTAATAAAAATAAAGATTGGAAAATATTTAAAACCTATATATATATATATATATCGATTTTGTGAATTATTATTATGAAATATCACACTACATCAATCTGACTATTTAAAAAATTACGGATCGACGCTTTCCATAAAAAGTTTTTTAGATTAGGTGGATGAATCGGCTAAAAAGGCATACCACCATATTACTATCAAATCGTGATAAACATAGACCTTGTTATGGAGAATCAAAGTTTTTTTAAGATAATAATGCAATTATATGTAAGATTGACGTTAATATGATATTAGGCAATATTGAATCTGCAAAATTTGAACCTTTTTCTCCATTTTATTAAACAAAATATAGGCTGTGGATCGGGAAATCAAAATACTCATTTTTTCATGTAAATAATAAAAATTATATTTGACTCGATCAAAACATCAATCAGTACTGGATTCAATTCAGATATGCGAGATATCAACATTACTGTTAATAATAAAAATTAAATTAAAAGAAGATAGAGTTTAAAGAATTAGATTTTATTTTTTAAAGATAGCAAATAATGCAGAAGTGCCATCACTTGAACAATAAGAAGAAGGAATGCTTATTGATGTTGGTGTGTGTTTAACAAAAATTTTTCTAATCAGAATTTCACACATTGACATTATATAATTGCCTTCTTGTGAACCACATGCCAATGGAACTAATAATAACAATATGATGATCATTCAGATAATTTGACTAGTCCACCTGTTAGATGTGAGTATGTTAAAATCACTTGAATGGTATCTTCCTGTTACTACAGATTGAAACTCTTTGTCAACTGAGCATTTGAAAATAAAAGAAAATCACAGCTGTCTGCTTGACAGTCAAATAACAAAATGGATCTTTGTTTTCTTTACAACTTCCCACAAAATTTTCACCATTCAGAGTTTTATCCAGGGCCCAAAATTGCATTTTAAATAATTGGGTTTTCTGAAAAATTTTGGTTGAAATTATAATAATAACTAAATTCACACAAAACTTTACAACACATTGCTAAATTCAAATTATTTAGATTTCAATATTTTAAAAAAGTATTCCAATTGTTTATTATGTTAATTGTATACTAATATACTAATAGATAGGAAGCCAAATACTCCCATTATTCGACCTTGAAATTCTCCACAACTAAAGCTCCTAATGAGCTGACTTGCGAGCCAAATAACTTATTCAGCTTGCAAGCTTAGTAAATTATTTGGTCTGTGAGCTGGCTCATGCAGAGCTTTATCCACAACACATTACCTACAATAAAAAACTTAATACTTAACCGTCCAACACTACTCCCACTCAATCTTAATTGTCTCTATATCATACAACTAAACAACTCTATTCTAATCTAACTCCAACCATACCCTACCTGTAATGCTTGCAGCTAGATTAATTCAATCATACAATAATAGTAAATAGTAATTGGCAACCCAGTTAATCTGAATCCTATTAATTCAAAAACCCGTTAATAGATATATGCAAATTTGACATGTTAAACAGTAGATTTTACTTTTTAACCCGTAAAACCCATTGATCTGATTTTTTTTTTTTAGAATTTTTAGAATTTTTTCTGAATTTTTATTAGATACTGATCTTCAAGTTTTGAAGTAATCCAAAGAAAAGTGGCTGTATAAATGCCCTCGGATTGACGTAGTTGCCTATGTAGTAGTAATATAAGTAATACTGGGAATAATAGTGGTAGTAATAGAAATGAAATTGTAATAATTATTACATAAACATATATACAACAATTCCATAATTGCCCTTCTTAATAAATAATCATTGCCATAATTATTTTTGTAATTATTTGAACTCTCTGAGTCAAATGATATATAGTTATTTTATGTTCATTCATATAATAATAAAGAATATTGAGAATCCGTAATTATTTACATGATCAATTTTCCTCCAAAGACTATAGTGTGTATACCACTATCATTCATGCATGACCGAATCAATGCTAATAGAAAGCCTGGGTTCTGCTTAATATTCTGGTTAGTAATTTTAATAAATAAAACATTTATTTTAATTCTTCTGTTGTAATAGTAAAAGGCTAGAAGGTACATTTATAAACGTTAATTATATAACTATTACACTATTTTATGGTTCTACTGGACCAAAAGAAGGTATGAGTAATGGTTGTATAATTGGTTGTAATCGTGTATGGTGTGTTATTAGTCTATTGTGAACACATTAATGCTATTCCTGGTAAAGAGCCTTGTGATTAATTAATTTAACTCTCTTTGCAACCTAACTTGTTGTTGATCGATTAAATTTGTTGTCTTCTGTATTGTAGAGATTGGAATCGACTAAAATAGTCGACTAAACTTTTTTTTGAACACCTAATAGTCGACTACTAGTATTACCAATACTAATACTAATACTAATATTATTATTGTCTGACCAATTACGATTTTTGTGTTTTATCATTCAAAATGGAAAATTTCTATGCGGAAGAGTATCAATACCATCAATATGATGATGACGACAATAATAGTTGATAATTTTACATGTGAATGAATAAACGCTTTCAATACAAGGTCCAATAGTTCATTGGTTCCAAGCTCCAATGATTTAAGCGGTGGTTCCAGAAAACCTTTAAAAAAAGAATCGCAACACATGGTTTTGTGTGGAAGTATTTTGTAAAAGTAAAAGTTCAAATGGAAATGAATTCGTAATTTGCAAATTAAAAAAAAAAAAACGAAATATTATTATTATTAGTTATAAAAAAAAATTTAGTTGACTAATTAGTTGACTATTCAACTATTTTAGTCAACTAAAATAATCAACTAATAGTCAACCAAATAGTCAACTAATTAATTAGTCAACTAAAGAAATTTTTGACCAACTGGTAGTCGACTAAGGATTTTTTTTGGACGATTCCAACCTCTATGTATTTGAACTTTCAGGTCTTCTTGTTGGGTAAAATAATATTAATGGTGGCAATGATAATTCTGAAAAAGAAAAACATTAGAAGATAGATACTACAGAAAATCAGAATAAATGAAATAAGAAGAGATTTATTATTCTTCTATAGTGGCCCTTTTATCTCTATCTTCTTATCGATGCACAAATGTTCAGAGCTTGCATTACTATCTATTGGTTGTCTAATTCTGAATATGTTTCTCTGATACTAAAATTATTATATGTCTCTCCTCTAGTAGTTGTATCGTAATTACTAATCATGTTCTTTTGCCTGGTTTAATCTAATTTGCTTTTAAATTCTAGATAATACAAAAAAAAAATGATTATATCAGAGAAATGCTAATCAATTTACAGCTAAATTTGAGTCACATGAAAAGGACAGGGGACAGTTATAAGTGGCTGGTTCCCTGTCCCCTGTTCTTTTCTAGTGTATCCTAAAATTTCAGAATTTTGATAATTTTTAGACTAATAACTAAATCATCATCACACGGTCCGTATTAAATATTTATCCGAAAACATAAAAAAATTTCCTTAAAAAAAAAAAAATGTTTTCTCATACTAGAAATTTCGATTTTGCAGATATACCAGACTTATCTGGCAAAGTAATTAATACTAATATACTAATCAATGGGATTCTTTTTTATCAATTTCATCAACCAATCAATTGATTTAATATTTATTAGGTTGCGGCGGTAACAGGCGGAAACTCTGGTATTGGATACGTTACTTGTAGAGAACTGGCAAGAAAAAATGCACATGTATTTATTCTAACTCGTAATATCGAAAGGGGCACTACAGCTGTTGAAAAGATTAAACAAGAAACAGAAAATCAAGACATAGAATTTTTACAATTGGATCTACAAAGTTTAAAGTCTGTTAAAGAATGCGCCGAATCTTTTTTGGCTCGGAAATTACCGTTACATATTTTGTAAGTAATAAATAAACATGTATTACATACATATGATTTGACTAATGATATTTATAAAAAATTGTGGCTAGGGTCAATAATGCTGCTATAGTGGCAACGTAAGTTTTTTTTTTACATAAATAGATAAATCTTTAATTAATTTTAAAATATATATATAAATTTAATTTTCACGATATGATAAAAGTAAATTTTCTTTAACTGTTGATGGAATTCAAGATCAATTTGGAGTTAATCATGTCGGACATTTTGTAAGTTTTAATCTAAAATGGCCAAAAAATTTTTAGCTGTTTAAGGAATCAGCAGACAATTGACTATAACTATTCAAATGCTTGCTGATTGGTTGATTTTTGCTATATGAATTCTCGTATATATATATGATATTCTTATTTCCTTTGACCAATGCTAACCTAATTTATATAATTATGGATGCTAATTATGGTTACTTATTTTTATAATAAAGTACCTTACAAAATTACTTTTACCAACACTTGAAGCATCTGCTCCATCAAGGATAGTTAACGTTAGTAGGTTAGTTGATTAATTGATTGCTATTATCTATTTATTTATCCGTCATTGATTTTGAATCTAAAAAATTATATATATATATAAAGTGATGGCCATAAGTTTGCAACTGGTGGAATAGAATTTGATAAAATAAACGATCCTAATGCTCATTTATCAATGAAACGATATGGGATATCAAAACTTGCAAATATTTTATTTACAGTTGAATTAAATAAGCAACTGGAAGGAAAACAAATTTATGTCAATTCTTTACATCCAGGTAACATTAATAATGATGATAATAATAATAATAAATTTCAATTTATTAACATTTTTTCAAAATCATCATTCATTTCATTAGGAAATGCAAATACTGAATCTGTTGAAAAACTTACAAATAATCTTGGTAAATGGTCGATTCCAATTTTTTGGCTTGCAAAATTTATATTTCTTACGCCTGATGACGGAGCATTGACCACATTATATTGTGCAACAAGTCCTGAGATTGAAAAGAAGAATCTGCGTGGAAAGTTTTTTATTCCATTTGGTGTAGAATCATCACCATACAATAATGGTGATGATGAAGAATTAGCAAAAAAATTATGGCAATTTACTGATGATTTAGTAAATGAAAAATTAAAAGATATAAAATAAAATAAAATAAAATGTGTTTAATAGTAAAGATAATATATATATTATATATATATATATATATTGTATTGATTGTAATTATTTAAATTATTTTAAATTATAAACATTTTAGTAATTAAAAATTCTCATCCATCTTCTCATTTCTTGTTGTTTTCTCATAATTTTAAAAATAAGCAACTGAGGCTCTTCTACCAAAGTTTTTACCAAAAAATGCACTACCAACTCTACTCGTTGGCGATGTATATTGTTCATTACCGTAATAATCATCGACAACCATAACATTACTAGCTCTATTACTATTAGTTGTGTTATCATAATATAAATCTAAATTCTTAGCATCGATCGATCTCCAAATACTTAGAAATAAAGAAACTAGTGACAAGCCAATATTCATCCAACAAAATATCAAACTTGTTATATGGAATTCACATTGTAATTTCGCTAATTCTGCCACATTTACTTTTATTGGATCCAGGTAATCAGTAAATATTAAGTCACATCTTATTCCTTTACCGACATACCAAGTAGTAAAAGTTGACAGACCTTTATTTAATAGTAATAAGAATAATTAGAAATAATAATAGGAAATAACAAATTTATTATTTTTAAAATTTTTACCAGCTGAAAACCATAATAGCACGAAAAAACTAATAAATAACGAATGAATAAAGATTAATTAGTAAAAATTATAACTAGTGATAACTATAATAATAATAATAATAATAGATTGATTAAATTAAAACTAACAAATCGAATCCTGTGAAAATTAACGGGCGATTCCAAAACCACTTTGCCCATATTAAATAAAACACTAAAAAAAATAACATCAAGTATTATTATTAGACTAGAATCAACATTAAAGAAAAATCAAAAATCAAATTATTTTTTTAAAAAAAATATAAATACCATAAGATATTATTGTTAAAGACATTACCATATAATACCATATTTTGAATTCCATATTTATTCTATTTATTAAAAAAAATTTTTTTAATTAATGCCAATTAAAATAATATATATACTATTAATCAAACTGTCAATAAAACTATGAAATAAACCATCAATTATACAATCAATTAAACCATTAATTAATCCATTGCTATAAACAAACTATTCTATCAATGCTTACACGTCAGTTTTTCTGAAATAATCTAATTTTGTAGGCCTAAAGTCGGTCCAATATGTTGTTGAATATAATTCATCGATATATTTAGAGTATATAAGATATTCAGATATATCTAAAATAATATAATTATATATTTATTTAATAATAATATAAGTGATAAATCATCATTTAATAAATCATTAATACCTATTGCAAAGCATGTTATTGTAAAAAATAACTGGAATATCTTTAGCCTTTTAAAAAAATTAGGATGATTATGAATATACATTTTTTAAAAAAATATATTTTTAAATTTATGTATAATGATATCAATTTTATATCATTTTATTTATACAAATAATGTAAAATCAAAGTTACCTATTAATATCCTGATTTAGTACCCATTGTATATTTCACAAACTTTATTATTGTTGTTGTTATCACTACATATTAGGTGTTAAATTTGTATCACATGATTGAAACTATATGCTTCCATTAATTAGGCTGGACTTTTTTAAACTTGCAAAACCAACTTTATAATATAAACCAAGATATCGGTAAAGTAGTTGATACAATAAAACCTAGGAAAAATCATTCCAAAAGTATGTTGAAGAAGTGTGGAAAGATTTTAAACAAATTTTTTGATAAAAAGACTCAGTTTTCTTTAATAAAATGATGACTGAAATTCGTGAACTCTTTTTAATTTTTTAAGACTATCATAAGATTTTTAATTTCATATATTTTTTAATTGCAACACAACTACTGGTACTTGGAGAGAAGAAAGGAGTTACTCTTCTCACCATAAGAAATTTCTACCAACGAAAAAACCAACCTTGGAAAAAAAACAATCGAAGCAATTCAAAATGGATTAATATAAAAAGAAGTAGAGTATGAAAGAAAAAGACAAAATGATGATAATAAAATAGAGTGATATAAGTTTCCGCCAGAGCGATCAAAGAATATGTAATACTCGTGAATTTTCTTCCCGTGCATTTGCTCTGGTGATATATATTAATATAAATTATCTTTCTATGTATTATTACTTGAATCAAAATAACGAAGCATGGCTTATTGTTTAATCCTTTCCTTGTATATTACATGGCTATATCCATTACAAAAATAAACTCAAAGTATAAATAAAATAAATTGTATCACTCAAGTAATAATTAATGCAAAATGAAGCTTTAAGAAAAAAAAAAAAAAAAACGATCTTTGAGGCCTGAGGTAAGAGAGAACAAAAAAGTTTTTTCCGTGCCTTCATTGCTACCATGCATGATTATTTAGATTTTGATAAAATATTCGCATAAAATTATTAAATATAACATATTGAGTTTAGGTGTTAGATTTAATGTATTGAACCACTCGTGAAAATGCCTTCTTGCCATCCAGGTCACTTAACCATGTACTTTCTTTCGGATGGCTTTGAATTGCAGTTTTATCATGGTCTTAATAAGTTCACGCCTTGAGTCCTCGTGGATAGTTTAGGTTTCCTCACAGGGATTGTGATAAATGGCACCTTCTTGTGCCTGGTTAAGGAATCTAAAATGTGAATGTAGTGATAGTGTAAATGGTTAAATGAATAATTAAATATCAACTATCTGGATAAAAAGTAAAAACTACATCTCATAATCGGTCCAACTTTCTCTTCTTCCATAATTGGCACTGTATAGATAAATGTTAATTGTTTTATAAAATATAAAATGTCATTGATAAAAAAAATGGAGTTGATACAAAAAAAAAAAATATTAAAGCTTCAAGAATTCGATTTACAAAACGAGTTTGTCAAGGATTTGTTTTATTATTTTAATATTAAGTCAAAAAAGAAATTATTGATTGATTAGAGTCAAGAAGGAAGAAAATGTCATCATTTAATTAGATATTTAATTTTTACTTTTATTTGCTAAACTGAATGTTATGGAAGAAAACTTTAAGATCTCGAAGCGTTAAAAGAATCTATCGAAAAAGAAGAAATATATTTGGAATGGCAAATTTAATTTACTATATGTGTGTGCGTGTGTGTTATAACAATTCATTTTAATCCATTTTATTAAGGTCAAAAATAATATAGAACAATTTTTATTTTTCGAATTATATGATTATATGTGAATGTGTTAATGAAAATGAAATGAACAAATGTGTGATGGTGTAAAAAAGTATGCGAAAATATGTAAATATGTTATTATCAAATCACATTTCTCAAAAAGATTAACATTACTATTTACTATTATCATTATTATTATTATCTCAAATAAGAGGGAAGGGATTTCTTTTTTTCATTTTTATCCAAAGTTTTATAAATCAAAACTTGTTCAGGCTCATTGATTTCAATTAAAGTAGATTGTTTAGGTTTATACTTGTAGACTACTTCACTCAATGCTTCGACTCTACGCTCTCCCTCATATCTTTCTTGTCTTTCGAACCACATTTTGTAGGAGACGAAAGTTGTGGATGCGAAAAGAATGGTGACAACCCAACTGAATGCAACACTAGTTAACATGGAACGACATTCTCTGGCCATTGCTTCAGCATTTGGTAATCCGTCTTGAATATCACCGCAAGAATATGAGAATCCTTCAAAGGCAGGATAAATATTTGTCAAACCTATGATTTAATTAAAGTGGTTATTTAGATTAAATATAAGATTAGATTGGGTTATTTTAGGTGTGAAGATATATATAAAAAAATTAGAATTGACGATTACTTGCGGTCACCCAGAGAGCTCCAAAGAAACTGGTTTTTTTGGATGGAATAATAAAAAAATGATTAATTGGTCAATCATAAACATTAGCAGTAAAAACAAATTTTATACGAATACTAACGCGTTAATTGAAATGTCACGTCTGAATGGCCCATTGTAAAAACTAATATGACGTGTGACATAGAGACCTATATAAAAAAATTTTTTCGAGTCAAAAAACCTTTTCCGAGCTTTAAAGAAATTCTCAAATTAAAAAATTTGCTTACCAGAATCAAGGAGTGTGATAAATATAATAATGTAATAAAAGACTTTTACACCATTGTAATAATAAAGATTGTGGTTGTCTGAATGAAATCTATAAATCAATAAAAAATCAGATTATCATATAAATACAAAGATGAGAGAGATACTATTTCTAAATTCTAATTTCAAATTCGATTCAATTAGTACATACACTCCACCAGTGAAATATACTGATGTTGGTATATCTACGCTTTCATTAAATAGTCTAAATGAAGTATATTCAACGATTTCTAATAAAGCATAACCAAAGAATTAATATTATTAACCGATTTTTAAAATTATTTATAAGTTATTCATAATTTTAGTTAGTTGACTGCTTACCCAAAATAAAAATCAATATGTTAAACACAAATATTAAAACTTTGCTAGTTTTAAAGATCGTTTGTTGTAGTTGAAGGCTATTCATCTCGCATGTATGTATTTATATATATATATGTGTGTATGTTGATTATATTAGATGTATATTATTTTATAAGTGGTAGTAATGGTTCATGTATATGATGATATAAATTATATATGCAAATGTAGAAATAGGTATGTATATATTTTTTGAAATATGTATATATACAATAATAATATAATTTTCTAAAGTAATTGGGCGAGCTTTAGAATAAATGTTAATAATAATATTAGTGATAGAAAATGGATGATAAAAGATGTAGGTAGATATTATTGAATAATGTGATTATGAAGATTTAGGTATAGATGTAGGTGTAGGTAGGAAGAGAATGTTATGAAGAAAAAAGAGGAAATGAGGAGAGGGTAAAGAAAGGATGAATGTATATGTAATTAGTCAAATAAAAAAGAAAGGATACTTTTTTTGACTTAGCCCGCGCACTTTTTATTAATTGGAAATTAAAAAATAAATTAAACTCGTATCAAACGAAAAGAAAAAAGAATACATTTTTAAATTTCATGTTTATTATTATTTGTGCAACGATTTAATTAATTAAAACGTAAACAAATAATAATTTAATATATTAATTATTAATTGTTTACAATGTAACCATATGAAGTTTTTATCGCTTTTTATGTAAGGAGGACAATTATCCTTCATTATCTTTTTACTATAGAATATATAAAAATGTAACTCAAATGAAAAAACAATGAATGAGAACATATAAATTATTTTTTTTCAAAAATTTAAAAATTGAAAATTTCAAATCAAGCGTTGCGTGCATTTAGCAATATATTCATATGTTGATTTCAAAAAAAAAAAAAAAACGATCGATTCCGTTATCACGAAAGCTTTTTTTTTTGTCCGTAATAGTAAATGCATAATAATAATAATAAATTATAATTATAATTACCTCGGAAAAATCAAATCAATTCTCGTTGTGTTACCTTTAATACTTTAATTTTTTATGTACGTGTATATTATTTAAAAATAGAGAATATATTTACTATTAGACATAAAGTATTTTAAATTCGTATCAAATTAACCAATCGGAAATTTGTATCTAAACACTCCACCCAATCAACATTAAACAATGATAATATTTCTATAGAACCCAGGAAGAGGCTCTGCCCATCGCCACATAGCCTTGGCCTGGAGCAAACATATTTTCATTTATGTTTGAGTGTGAAGGCATTTTGAAAAGGTAATAAGATTGTACAGGTTGCGTATCGAAGCTTTGAGGCATGAATTTTGGAATGGTGTAATTTTGATTTCTGCCATCCATTTTTTTTTTTAATTATACATAAATGAAAAATAAAAAATACAACTTACATATCCATATCTTGAATGGTTTTCCAATAGATTTTCCTGCATATGTTGTTGCACATGCACAATGTTATTATTAGGATTTATTCGGTAAACAAAAATAACGAAAGCATCAACTTTTATTGCAAGAAGTTTTACAAATTAGAGATTGAATTGACTATTTTAGTCAACTAATGGTCGTAGTCGATTAAAATCTTTTTTTGATCAACTAATAGTTGACTAAAATAATCGATTAAAGCAATCCTATCACTTACTACTTTGATGAGATGATAATTTTTATGTATGAGCCAATGAATGCTTCTGATATAAGATCTAATAATTCATTTGCTTTTGGTCCAATGATCTAAATGGTGGTTTTTAGGGACCTTTGAATAAAGGAGGCAGCGTGGTACATGGTTTTTTAAGAAATAATAATAACAACATTATTAATTCGTTTAATTTTTTTATGATAAACAAATATATTAGTTGACCAAGACATTCGACCAAGATAATCGACTATTTAGTCAACTAAAAAAAATTTGAATAGTCACTAAGGTTTTGACCGAATCCAATCTCTAGTACAAATAATGACAACAATTAAAAAATACTGAATTACTAATAAATTAACGTTATCATTTTCATTTTCATTTTCATTTTCTAAACCAATTTCTGAATTCACAGAATTAGGTGCGTTATTCATTGCCAAGTCTTGGGTCAGTGTATTATTACCATTAGGTTTTTTCCCTTTACGAGTGTTGACGATTTCTTTTCTTTACGTTGGTCGTTTGAATTATCAGATGTTGGATAAGTCCACTCAATATCAGCACGGGTTATTGTATGAGAGTTTCTCATCTCCTTCTGCAGTTAATATGGTCTTTTATTTTGTTATTGTTGCAACGGTTGGATGGTGAGAATTAAATGATTAGATTATATTTACAAGGGACTCCATGGTGAAATGATTTTTTGTACAAGATTGGTAGATCGTATTTTATATAGAAGAAGTTACACAAGTCTTCAGGTTTGAATCGATGTAACCTGGCAGACAGTCTTAATCAAAATAGATGAATTTGTCTTTGTCGGCCTATACTATTACGGTGCAACTTTTGACATTGCGTATTTTCCAAATACAATTGAAGAGAAAATAGATGTCTTTTTTTTTTACGAAACAATTTCTTTTAATAGCAAAAAGAAAAATACCGGTGTTATTTTCACCCGTATTTATGTTGGAGTGATAGACAATAGATAATAAAGACGACAATAAAAACATTCATCTACTTTTTCCGACAAATAATAGATAATAAAATTCATCTATTTTTTTCTAGTAAAGGATAAATCCTATCGAAATAAAAAAATAATTGTTTTGAACCAAGAATTTATTAGTTAGCGTTAACACATCACAAATATGAGTTTTAAAAAATTAATCCAAAAAAAAATTGCCATGTAGCTGTTTATTGACAATAAAAAATTATAGATTATTCTTTCTAAAAAACGGAATAAATTTATTTAATTGGTCTTTTATTATTAAGAACATTTAACCCATTCCCGGAGACGATACAAAAACTTTTCGCCAACTTTGGTTAACGAAATTTTATTGTATGTATCAAAAAGGGATCGGCAGTCAATTTTTATCAAAAATAGGATTACACAGCGACTGGATAAATATTATATATTATATTGCTATTGAAATAACCCCTTCACTCATAATGTTTAATTTGCTGACAAATTAAATAACTTAAATATATATAAATCCCATTATCCTAAAAAAAAATAGAAATTGATTAAAAAATGTCAAAAAATAAATTTTCAATCGAAAAAATTTCAAATGAAAATCTTGAAAATCTTAAGGAGTTAGCAATCGATTGGAGTCTTGCTCATGGATTAGCAATTAAATCAAACAGCAGTGATATAAACAACAAACTTATTGCCACGGCAATAGCAACACATGCTCCAGTCTCGTTAGTTCCATCGCCATTTCCAAAAGAACTTTTTCAGACTGCTTTAGAATTACAACCAATTTTCAATTTACTATTTCATAGAATATCTGAAGATCATGATTTTATATCAAATGTCATAGAAGAGTGAGCAAATAGATTATAATTAACATTGATATTTTATATTTAATTTATTCATTGAATACTATTTCTTAATAATCATAAACTAAAGTATTATAAAAGTGGATGATTTTATTAAAAATTTATATGAAATCTACCTTAAGGTCAGAAATGAAGGCGTTAAACAGGTAATCTAAAAAATTTAACTCTAAAAACAATTAATTAGCGAATTTTTAAATCAATATTAATTAAATTTATTATATATTAGACAGTTTCTTTAGGATTACACAGATCAGATTATTTCTCACATTCTTTTCCAAATTCAAATCAATCAAAACTTTTACAAGTTGAATTCAACACTATTTCCTCATCATTCTCCAGCCTCTCAACATTAACTGGTCAATTACACAGGTAACACATCACATATTATCATCGTTATTTGTAAATCTGAGCCATTCCAAGAAAATTTCTATCATTAATCAATAGTCATTAATCACATATTATCATTATTAATTAAAGATATTTGTTAGAAAAAACAAGTTATTTTGATTCAATAGATTTATTCAAGAAATCAGATGATTATTTACTTCCTGAAAATGAATCAATGGATGCTATACCAGAAGGAATTGCTGCTGCTCATAAGATTTATGGAGTAGAAGAGTAAAATAATAATTTATCATCTTTTTTTTTTTTTTTTAAAGAGAAAAAATGATTTCTGAAAATACATTTAATTTTCTGCTAATTTAGTGCATATGTTTTAATGGTTGTCCTGTCACCAGAAAATAATATTTTTGACCAAAGATGGATTGAATACAAATTATTTGACAAGTAATTATTATAAATTATTATACAATTACTCTAATAATAATAATCATAATAATAATGATATTATTATTGCTTGTTTTTATTTATAGTCATAAGGTACATTTAATTCGTAAAACACTTTTAGAAATTCACGAAGAAGGAAAATTGGATGGAAAGACAGGAACTTTATTAATGTAAGAAATAATCAAATTACATTTATCCCTAGTCCAATCTAATCCAATTTGATTATTAATAGTGGTGATAAAGAAATTGCTGTTACATACTTTCGTGCAGGTTATGGACCTGACCATTACCCCACTCACAAAGTATGTACATATATATTTATTTTTTCCCAGATCAGAAAAATTTTTTAATCATTATTTAATTAGGAATGGGGTGCTAGACTTGCGATAGAGTGTTCCAGATCAATAAAATGCCCAACCGTTGCTTACCAACTTGTTGGTTCAAAGAAATTTCAACAAGTGTTATCAAATCCTGGTATTTTAGAAAGGTAAAAAATCAAAAATTATTTTTTTTTAAATCAAAAATAAATATAATCTTAATTGCTTGCTAATTTATTTCCATCGTTCCTTCCTCTCTCCGTTTATCAATTATTAGATATTTATCAGATTCATCTGATATAACAAAAGTTCGATCTTGTTTTGCAGGTTTATATCCATTGGATTCTTCGCCAGAAGGTGAATCGGCTACAAAACTTGCATTGGAAAACCCAGAACGTTTTGTCATGAAACCACAACGTGAGGGTGGTGGTAATAATATTTATGGAAGTGATATACCACTAGCTCTGATGAATCTATCAAAAAGTGAACGATCATCTTACATTTTAATGGATTTAATAAAACCACCATCGATTAAAAATATTGTTATTAGAAAGGGTGAATTGATCAAAGAAGAAATGATATCTGAATTGGGAATTTTTGGTTTTTTCTTAGGTGGTAAGGTTATCAAGAATGTTGAAGCTGCTGTTGATGTTGAGCAAGAAGACAAAATATTTGTAAATAAAACTGCCGGCCATTTATTAAGAACAAAAGCAAAGGATACTAAAGAAGGCGGTGTTGCTACAGGCTTTTCTGTAATTGATTCACCTTTATTAATTTAATTTAATAATAATAATTATAAATGTATGCTAACAATTAATACAATTAAATTAATTGTTTAATAAACTATACAAATAAAAAATAATACCAGCAAACAAACTCAAAAAATTTATTGTCAACTTCATAATAACATCATCCGGTGTCAAAAGGTTTAACATAATCATAAGTTAAACAACTGCCAATTGCGCCAATTCTATTAACATTGAATCTTAAGTGAGAATTTTTATTGTTAAATTTCATTTGGAAAAAGAGATGATGCCGGCTAATATGTCCAGGATCTTTTATAGCAACCTTCAACTATACCTTTTCATTTTCTCCCTCTTCTATCGTCTCATAAATCTTATCATAGAATGAATCAACAATACCAAAAAAAGTATGTTTTATTTTCAACGTTCCAATAGTAAAATGAAGTGATTCGTAAGTTTTATAAAAAACAAAATCCAAAATTCCCCCAGAAATCACTTTTCAAGTTTTTGTATGTACCGAGAATTTTGGTCCTTTGCTAAAAGTATTTATATAAAAGGGCCTAAACAGGCGATGAAAATTTCTCAGGCATGTTTATTTTCTACATGTGTATTTTAGATCTATTAATCCAACGCCTTGATAAAAGAGGGAGTTATCTTTGAGACATTACAGTACCAAAAGGTTACTTGAGATGTGTATGCCGCAAAAAATTATTCTATTATTATTTTGTTGCTAAAGAATGACTTGTTCAGAAATTGCTTGACAATGGAACAACCGGAGAATTCACTAACTGATCCATTAGGACACTAACTAGATATAACAGGAGGGAACGTCCTATATAAGGAATGGATTTTCACAATTGATTTCAATTTTTTTTATACAGTTTAAAATACTT